AGGTGAAGTGGTCTTCCCAGGGTCACACAGCACAATCAGGATTTGCATAGTTGTGTTCCCTTAAAGCCCATGCTTTTCCCTGGCCCCTTGGTGGAAGGCCAAGTGTCAGTGTGTTGCTGAGTAAATATAGGGGCTTATTGACCCTCTTTTTCCCTACCTGGAGTGTGATCTTCTGAGAGTGGGCAGTCCTAGCCCAAGGGGCAGCCTCAGTGTAGTGAGGGGACAGTCAGACTGACAGTTCCTGGGGCTGCCCCTCCCTAGCCAGGTGACCTTGGGCAGGTCCCTCCCACTCTCTGAGCCTGTTCCTCATCTATAAATGGGGCCTCCACTGCCAGCCTCTCTGGGCTGTCAGGAAGATGAGGGCTCCGCGGAAGGAGATGTGCTTAAAGGGGCTCTGCGAAGAACAAGTCCAGGCTGGTTGCTGGTTTTAATTCTGTCTTGGTTCAGGGGCAGTCACTGGATGGAGGTTGGGGAGACTGTGGATGTTGGCTGTTATTTCTCGTTTTTCAAAATGCCTGCAGTGCTTTCATTGCTTTCACAATAAACAAGTCCATTGAATTTAAACAAGCTGAAGGACGCATGCTCAGAGGTGGTTTTTGCAAAGAGGGTAGAGGCTGTTGCTGGGTTGGTATGGCCCCCCTTGGGGCTCCCTCAGCCAAAGTCAGTGGGGACAGGGATGGCTCTCCCTCCCCCAGCACCTGGTGTTCATGATCTCTTCCAGTTAGGGCTCAGCCCTAGGATGGTGAGAACTTGGGCAAGTCACTCCTCACCTCTCACCCAGGGGTGCGGAGAGGAGTCCTGCTGAGAGGGGCCTGAGAGACTATCTGACCCAGAGTGGGTGTTTTTGTTTTTGCTGAAGAAGACTGGCCCTGAGCTAACATCTGTTGCCAATCTTTCTCTTTTTGCTTGAGGAAGATTGTCCCTGAGCTAACATCTGTGCTGATATCCCTCTATTTTGTATGTGGGATGCTGCCGCAGCATGGCTTGATGAGCTACGTGTATGTCCGTGCCTGGGATCTGAACTGGTGAACCCAGGACTGCTGAAGCGGGGCATGCCAACTTAAACACTACGCCATGGGGCCAGCCCCCTGACCCACAGTTTTCATTCTACAAATGAAGGAACTGAGGCTCAGGGAGGGGAAGGCCTTGATCAAAGTATCTGAGTGAGAGGCTCAATCCAGATGGGTCCATATCCAAGTCCAGGGTTTTTTATGACCTGCCCTCCCCCTCAGTGTCAGCCCCACCAGGACTGAACCTGTGGACTGATTTACTCAGATATGCCTGCTCTGTGCCAAGCCCTGTCCCGGGTGCTGGGCACTCCGGTGATCCCAGCTGGGCCCTACCCTTGGAGAGGGCCCCAGCTGGTGGGAGCGTTCAGACAGGCACCAATGGGAGGGAGGGGGCCGCTCTGGGGGAGGGAGAGGTCAGGCTTTGTAGAGGAAATGCTGGCACTAGGCCTTTAGCGCTGAGTGAGGGGTTGCTCTGAGGATAGGCAGGGAGAGGGGATCCAGGTCCAGCAAACGGTAAATGGGGGGCAGGAAGTCGAAACCTCCTGCAGTGCTAGGGACCTGCACTTGCAGCAGGGAGTGGGGGTGGAGAGGTCTGGGGACAAGTTTGAGAAGGGCCTTGATAAATGTGAGACAAGGAGCTTGACTATTTACCCGTGAGCTTTTGGGGGGCCACGGAGGAGCTGAGGTGTGTGGGGAGCAGGGCATGTTCATGTGACCTGGGTCGGGTACCAGAGACAAGCCGAGTTTGGTGGTGGGCAAGGCCGCCCGAGCCCACAGCGCCACCTGGGGTCCATCAGTCTCACTGCAGCGTGACCCTGCCCGGCCTCTCAAGCTGGGGAAACGGTGGGACAGACATCTCTGCAAGGGACTCCAGGCTCCCAGGCAAACTTGTGAACCAGGACCAGTCCCAGAAACTCTGTCCCCTTCCAAAGCAGCCAGGCTCCGTGGTCAAGGACTCACATTCAGTGATGTGCCAGACCCCTACTAGGTTCTTCGCCTGCCTTCTCAGGCCAGGGCTCCTATGCAAGTGCAAGGAGACATGGGTCTCGTGGTCCAGCCTGCCAGCCTGGGCAGGCATCCTCCTATACCATCATCCCACTCCAGAGCAGGTCCCACCTCCATGAGCACGTCTGTGATGAGCGGCCTACTCTTACCTAACAGCTCCCTCAGTCTTTGGGGGACTTTGCTGGAATGATGTCTCCTTAGAGCTTCCTCTGTCACCACCACCAGCACCACCACTCCCCCCTCCATGGTTCTCTTCCCACCTTGCTGGGCTGTACAGATCTTCACTACCAGATACCACACAGCATGTCTATCACATGTGTCTTTGAATCCACAGAGACGTTTACAAGGATGTTCACTAAATGTTAACATCTCTTAGGATGATGGAATTTTTGGTGACTTTTTCCTCTCATCTTTGTACTTGTATTGGCTGCTTACATTTTCTAGATCTGTATTATCCTTATACTCATGTGAAAGCACAAAAAAATTACTTTCACTTGGAAAAAAACAAATTAAGAAATCTAAGCACACCCAAATCAGAGCTGGAGTAGCCCAGTAAAAGCTCGCAGGAGCCAGGCAAGCGGCTGATGGTGGCTCTGCAGTCCCCAGAGCTGTGGCCGTCTCATGTTTTGCAGGGGAGGTTGTTCTTCGCCACACTCTAAGCTCCTGGGGCGCAGGGACCAAAACAATTTCCAGGGCCTCTTCTCAGCTCCGGGCACATAAGAGATGCACAACACACCTCACCTCTTGCCTGACAACTACATTGCCCTTCTCCCTGGTTTTCTGCTGCCCCCTCACCCCCAGTCTGTTCTCAGCATAGCAAATCGATCATGTCGTTCATTCTTTGACCTACAAGGCCGTGCACCGTCAGGCCCACCAGCCTCTCCAACCTCAATACTTCCCACCACCCTCTTGCTCTGGAAGTCCAGCCACTCTGGCCTCCTTTCAGTCCCTCCACCATTCTTTTTTTTTTTTTTTTTGGTGGCAGAGAAGGGCATTTATTAAGTGATAAGCTAGCAAATTGGAAGATGGGGGACGAGCATCCTAAAGAACCATCTTAAGGAGGGGCGCAGAATCTTGAAGCAGTTATATAGGCCAGTGGGTCATAGCGGACGGAGATAGGAATGTTGCCCCTCTGGCGTTACCCTGGGAGTCACGGCACCAGATCTTTCAGTCGTCAGTGATGATGGCTGTCAGCACAGACTCTCTGTTTGGGGGTCATCACATTCACGCTGTGATTGATGATACAGTGCTCATTCTCTCTCTCAAGTTCCTGACTCCAAGATTCATATCTTCTCCAGCCATCTTCTGTTTTAATCCAACTCCATCCAGACCTCCTCCAGTCCTGACCCAAAAATGACATAGTTCTTCTGGAGTGCGGCCACCTCAGGGCCCTGACGCGGGCAACGCAGGGTTTATTGCCCCTCCATCATTCTTTGCACTTGCTGCTCCCTCTCCCTGGAAAGTTCTTCCCTTAGATCTGTGCTCTGTCATTCAGGTCTCAGATTAAACATCACCTCATCACACAAGCCTTCCCCAACCTCCTAACACACATGCCCCTCACACATGATGCTGCCACCTGGTTTCATTTCTTCCCTAGCATCATTGCCACCTGAGATGACCGAACTTGTCTACCCTTTTGTCCCCCAGCTCGCCAGAATATAATCCCTGCCCAGGCAGGGGCCTGTTGGCCTGCTCTCCACTGTCCCCCTAGCACAGCGCCCAGTGCTGCTTCCTACAGTAGGCTCCCACGGAAATGAACTTACCCCAGGTTGACTTGCCATGAGTACAAAGTCCAAGGGTAAAACATCCGTTTTCTGCCATTTCCTGCAGAAGCAGGCAGTGCATGTCTGCAGTATTGTCTTGTAAACTGTCCTCAGCAAAGAGGACTGGCCAGAGCCTCTGCACGAGCTGGCTCGCAGGAGTCCCCAGTCAGTAGCTGTTGAATGGACTCTGCCCTCTTGTCCTGACTCACTGAGCATTTAATCTTCGCCAAACACTGGGCACTTTACTCTCTTCAAAGCCACCCTGTGAGGGAGGTACCATATTCCCAGTTTTACAGATAAGATGACAAACAGACTGGCCTACAAGTGGCAAAGCTAGGACTTAAGCGTAGGCTGTGTGATCTCAGAGTAGGCATTCTTAAGGACTCCTGCCTCGGAACGTGTCAGCTCTTAGGAAGCTCTTAGGAAGGAAATACATCAGGCAAAGCCACCTGCCCTGTCCTCTGGAGGACAGAATCTCTTGTTTTACTCTTAAGCTGGCACACTGGAAAGAGGAATGCCTCAATGATGGGGTCTTAGCAGTGTGGTGGCGAGAACATGGTTGGATTCAACGGCTCAGCCACCTGCCACCTAGATTAGTTTCTCTACACCTGTTTCCCCATCTATAAAATGGGACCAAGACCCACGTCTCAAGTCCGTTGTGTGTGAAAGTGCCTAGCACAGGCTGGGCTCGTCGACAGCACTCAAAGGTTGACTGAACCTGCAGCAAAGCTGGTGTCAGGTAGTACCAGGGGCACTCAGAGCTGTCCACCTGCCCCAACACTTGTTCAGTGAGGCCATGGTGAGGCCATGGCAACATGGTGTGGAGAGATCCCTGAGGCCACAGACCCAGCCTATGGCCAACTGAAACTAGAAGTGAACACTTTCTGGGGAGGCCAGATGTCCCCTCATGGCCAAAGTCCTGAAGTGGAAGATCTCCTAAGTTGGAGCCTGCAGACCAGGCTTTTGACTCTCACTCCACCACCAGCCATGAGGTGACCTTGGGCAAGTAGTATTCTCTCTGGGTCCTTTCCCCATCTTTATAAACCAATGGTAAAAGTCATACATTCTTCCCTGCTTTTGTCACTCCTTATCGACAAGGTGTACAACCAAGCAAAGGTGGCACATCCAGACTCAGCAAAGTTAAGCTCAGAGGGAGAAAGATTGAGAAGCCCAGGGTTGGTTCATGTTGGACGCATACCCAGACTTTCAAGCGCTACACAAATGCAGCAGGCAGAAATGAGTTTATTGCATTAGAAAAAACACCAAAGAAAACCAGCAAACACCTCCATACTAGACACAGTTATTAGTTTGACTTCAAGGGAAAAAGGAATCTCAAAGGTAGAAGCTTTATTTCTGGGAGGGGTGACGGTCTCATCCCTCCTCCTTCCCTGTCTCTTTAAACCGACGGACTTCTATAGAGGTGTCCACTGTGCAACACAATTACACACACGGCTCATTTCTCACTCTGCTCACCTGCTCATGCCCATGTAGAGCTAGATGGTCCTGTGAGCATGCTCCTGAGGTTCTGGGATAGACAGAGAAATGTGAGGATGGGGTTGGGGGTCCTGACCTGAGCCCCTAGTTAGTGATGGTGGGGCTCCAGTGGGGGAGGGAGAGCTGGGCTTCCTGCAGAGTTCTGAGAAGACAGCTCACTGATCCCTCCATCTCTCCCCACAAACCCTGGCACAGGCATTGGCACGAATGGCTGCTGGGCATGAAGGGGGGCTATTCAACGAACCAAGCAACTCAAAGTCTCTCAAGGGAGCCACTTAGGCTAACTTCTTGGTATAGCCCTTGGTCTGGAGGTGACTGCTGGGAGGAATGAAACCAGGTGAGCCTGGATATGGGGGAGGAGAGAGAAGGGGAGTTTGTGATGCCCAACACCCTCTGGCTAGAGCTGAGAACTCTGGGAGGAGAGGTCTGGAGCAGGAGCCTGGAAGAGAGAGACGGCAGGGCAAGGCAAGCTGGAAAAGGAAAGAAACCCAGGTGGGAAGCAGAGCGATGGCCTCAACCAATGTGGTGCCCTCCCAGGAGAAACCCAGCCTGAACTCCATTCTCCATGGCCCAATTCTGCCAGTAGGTCAGCATTAAATAACAGTCTCTGCTGGTTTCTGCTCTACCATGCACACTGGCAAATCAGTGGGTCTTGAGAAGAATAAAACTGCTCATTGTTCGGCCTCCAACCTTAAAAGTTCCAAAATGTCACTTGGCATCACAGCTGGTCATCATGGGCATGCCCCTAGTCAGGCCACAGGCAAACACTAAGGCAGAATGACATCTCCTTTAGCTGAGACCCTGAAGATGCCAACTGCTATGGCTAACAGCAGAGATAGGAGGAGATGAGGCCAAAGATGAGCAGCAGCTTTTTGGAGAGGAAAGGCACTGCTGCAGGCCAGACCCCAGGAAAGAGAACATAATTCAAGTCTGAGAAGTGGCAGAAGCCTTGGCAGGAGGGGCCCGAGGATGCCAGGGCTGCGACTCAGGTACCTGGCAGCTCTGAGCCCCTTCTCCACACTCAACTTCCTCAAAAACTAACTTAAGGGAGGCTCATGTGAAGAAAGGGAATGTGAAAGCCTCTCGAGATAAGAAGCTTCCAGAATCTTCCTTGCCTATAAGCTCCTAGCAGCAGTTCATTAGAAAAATGCCCACTCACACCCCCAACCATGCTTCCTTAAGGTCAGAATGACAACGGAAACAACATTTGCCTTCAAAACACATTTAAGATACCGTAAAAATCCCTATCAGAAACAACTCTAAATTTTTTTTGCCACTTTGATTCTGTACTATTATTCTTTCTACATCAGGGATATTTTCCTAGAGCAGGGAATCATTTCCCCTTGGTCCTAGCTGAATACTGCATATTGGTCTGGGTAGGGGGGGCATAGTGACCATAAATAACTTATATTATTACTTGCAGACAAAAGGCCTGGGTTTCTGCCCAGGCCTTCATTAACTTTCACAGGTCAGCTATGCTTAGGAAGAGCAGCCTGTAGGCAGCCAGGCAAGTTCTCCAAAATTGATGTCAGAGGATTGGCAATCAGTCTAGATGGAAGGAGGAATGGCTTTATCCTGTTTTCTCTGGCCTGACACTTGCTGTCACTCTCTCGATCCTAATGCTTCTGGTTGCTCAAGCCCTGGCCCCATGGCCTTGTTTGGGGTAGCAGAGGGAAGGTGAGAGAGATTGTGGCTAAAGAGTTCACTTAGGTTGGGTTAGTCATCCTGAAACTGATCCCACCTGCACCAAATCCTTTGGTTCATTTAACACTAGAGAGTAACTCCTTCCGGCTCATGGATGTTGTAAAATTCACCTGGGTCCCACAGATGGTGGCAACCTGGGTAGAGTGTGGGTCTTCTCTGGAAAGAGGTTCTAGGTTGGGGCTCCCCCAAACTGTGCCTCTTGCTTTCTGCTTAAACAAACCCCCTCCCTTTCTCCAGTGTGAAGGACGCTGAGGAAACAGCGTCAAAAGTGAACTCACAGACAAGACAGCCTTAATAAATTAGTATAATACTATTAGAAGGGATGGCATTTTGTTCTGTTTCTTAGCAGCATTGTCCTACATGCAGCCTGATGATCTCCTTCCCTGGAAAATTTAAAAAGCCGTCCCCTGGTTGTTAGCTCTGATGTAAAATTATAAAATAGAAATCTGGTAGGGTTTGTTTTGTTTAAAAAGGAAAAGCCCCGGTGAGGCAGGGCGGTCCCATGCAGTCCTGTTAGCTCTGGCCATTGGGTCGGCCCACAGTGCTCCCTCCAGGAGGCTGGATCTGGATGGAGTCCAGGAGGGGCCGCAGAGCCTGTCCGAAGGGCCTGTGGAGAAAACAGACATGGGAGCTGGGGTGGGCTCTCTGTTGTAGACTGCCACAGCCGGCCAGCGCGCCCAGCTCTGCCCACAGGTGCAGCAGCACCAGCACACCAGGAAGGAGGACACCATTACCTCAGTTCGTCTTCTCCCCTACCTCACACACCAGTTTTCACAGAAGGGATCTCTAAATAGCCTGCTCTGCATTTTTACTCCTGGGGTCCCCTCCTCAGTAGAAGCTACCATCTTACTATCTTTGCCTCTAGATCCTGGTTAGCTGTGGTGTAAACAGGCTGGCTATGTACAGGGAACTAGAGCTTTCTCTATTTTCTGTACTTGTATCTTTAATTCTCATGGTACAATAAGATAAAGTTTGAGTGAGAAAGCTGGGGCAAAAAAAAAGGATATGAAAAAGATAGGGGGCTGGCTCAGTGGCATAGTGGTTAGGTTCACGTATTCTGCTTCGGTAGCCTGGGGGTCAAAGGCTCAGATCCTGGGTGCAGACCTAGCACTGCTTGTCAAGCCACAGCGTAGTGGCATCCCACATAAAATAGAGGAAGATTAGCACAGATGTTAGCTCAGCAACAATCTTCCTCACACACACACACACCAAGATAATTAGGAGTGAGAATGGCACACAACTGGATCCCTCCAGGACTGAAGTCTTCTGGGAAGTACAGGCAATATTCAGGAAAAATGACAAATGCAGCTTGTCAGAAGCTGTTAATGCTGCTTTCTAAAGGGCTCCCAGTTTGCTCTCAGAGTAGCTCAGCTCAAAAAAACACTGCAAATACTTTAGTCTTAGAGACTTTCCAAGATTACAGCAACCTTAAATCAGGTTTCCCACAACACATCTCACTTACTGGCTTTCTTTTTCTTCAGTGGATACTGCCATTTTTGAAAAACATCCTCAAGTTCAAAGGGAATGAAGTATTCCAAAGCATAAACAGATGAAACCAAGAAATATTAACCCTAATTCAGACAAGTCCAGGAACTCCACCCATCAAATGGTAACAGCAAGAACGTTCCAACTGCTTGGTTTGCTCAGGGCCCCATGACCTAGATCCTTCAGTAAGGCTATGGGGTTTAACACACACCAAGGAACAGGAAGGCAGGGCCAGGGCTGGGAGATGGGGTTCTCCTCATCAGCCTTGTTTCCTATGCAAGTTTTTCCTGAGGGGTTCCTACCCAGGTGTGAAAAACAGCTCACCTTGCAGAGCCTGCTAAACCTGCCAGGATCCCCGTTGGACAGGGCCCAAGTTCAGGAGAAACTGAGTCAGAGGCAGCAAATAGATATGGTCCTGGAGTGGGCAGAGGCTGCCTGAAGCCAACCAACAGCAAAGGGAGGGAGGGGTGTGATGGCTTTGGGTGTGTGTGTCCCCTTTCAGGGACACCACCTGGATGATGGCCTACAAGGTGTGGACCACATCAGGGTAGGGAGAGGCTACAGACCGTTCTTGAAGAAAACATCTACTGAGGGCTGACTTTGTGCTACAAGGTACAAGGGCAGGTAGGAGTTGTCTTTGAGGGCATCAGAGAGGTCACGAAGCAGGGGAAGAAAGACTAACAACAGTTAAAAAACAAGCCACCCTACTAAATCTCTGATCTACTCTCTGCTTGACTATCTAAAAGTGCATTTTAAGTGGAGACTTCTAAGGAGCGGCATGCTTCATGTGCAAGGGGAAGGACAAATGCCAGGATGCTGTACAAATACTGAAGCCAGTGTCAAGTGGGTTTCTAAGTTCTGCCATTGCACTCCAGCCAGGCTAGAGTTGGTCCAACTCCAAGGAGGGTGAAGGTAACACATGTGAGCATCAGTGAGTGGAGAGATGGTGGCCATCCCTGTTAGAAGCTGCCACTGTGACAGGTTTTGGGAGGACTCTGCTGAGATCAGGGGAGGGCAGAGCAGTGGCACTGACTATGAATGGGGATCTCAAAGGCAGGGGCAGAGACAGAGGCCACTTACGTGGAGAGAACTTCAGAGGGAAGGTCAGTGATGTAGGAAGGGATCTTCCGCCCAGTCAGGAACTGTGCCACTTCGTTGCTGAAGGTGTTACAGTTGTGTTCAAAGAGGTTGTAGGCCTCACCTCTGTACAGTGTGAGAAAGGTTTGGAGAACAGACAGTTAGCAAGCATCTATATGAAATAACTCAAATCCAAGTAATGAAATGGTGAGCACAGCTGAAATGTGAAGGCTCTGATTTCCCTTCTCTCTTACAGTCCAAAAGGACTGCTTCATTTGCCACTCTGGACCATTAATAACAGATTTTTTTTTCTTCTTCTCCTCCTCCCCATAAGTCCCACAGTACATAGTTGTATATTCTAGTTGTAAGACCTTCTGGTTGTCAATAGCAGATTTTTAAGGTAAGGATGAAATAAAAATACAGATCTTCCTTAACTTAGAATGGGATTACATCCAGATAAACTCAGCGTAAATTGAAAATATTGTACATAAGTTGAAATGCATTTAATACACTTAACCTATTAAACATCACAGCTTAGCCTACCCTACCTTAAACACGCTCAGAACACTTACATTAGCTTATAGTTGGGCAAAATCATCTAACACAAAGCCTATTTTATAATAAAATGTTGAATATCTCATGTAATTTATTAAATACTGTACTGATCGTGAAAAACAGAATGGCTGTCTTGGTAGAGAATGGTTGCAAGCGTATCGGTTGTTTACCCTTGTGATCACGGGGCTGACTGGGAACTCTGTCTCACTGTTGTTGCCCAGCATCACAAGAGAGTATGGTACTGGGAAAAGATCAAATTCAAAATTTGAAGTATGGTTTCTACTGAACGTGTGAGACTTTCACACTATTGTAAAGTCAAACAATCATCAGTCGAGCCATCATAGGTCAGGGACTGTCTGTATGTAGCTCCTCTACGGTTTCAGGAGACCTTCCCATTCACAAAAGCAGAGCTCTAGGGTTAGAATTTAACACTTACTGAAATCAACTAAAGCTTCCTTAAGAGAAAATCTGTTCAAGTTTGTATTTCATCCCAACCCCTCTACAAACCCTGTTTTTGATTTTCAGGACAAAATACTTGGCCAGTAGGGGTTGAGAGCAGCATTTGCTGAAATAGCAGCAGCTGATTTTAATCAGAAGGAATAACTAGCCCTTCCTTTGCTCAAAGTTTTAGCAGAAGGTATGCTGGGATGGAACATCAGCCTTGGAGCAACACTGAGCTCTGCTTATGGCACGAAAACTGCCTTCTCTTCATATTCACTCAGCAAACACTGGGCCAGACTTTGTGCTGAGTGCTTCGGGGGATATGACTTGGTAGCTGCCCTCTGGGGCCGATTATCTAGTGGGGGAGACAGACACAACTAACCACCACCCCTGTCTCCACTCACCGGAACAGAGACTCCCCCAGGGAGGACAGGTATTCCAGAAAGATTTCTTCTGTGACTTCTGTGCTCCCCACATCAACCACAGAGTCTGGGGGCCCAAGCAATGTCCCTCCCTAAAAGAGCCAACCCAAAGAAAGTCATTAAATCACAATCTCCATTGAATTTTTTAATGTGGCTTCCCACAGAAGACCACAAATGCTCCGTTCCAACAACTTCATTTTCAACTTTCAGAGCACCCAGGGCAGATGAAGAGTGTTATTTCCTATTTGTGTTAAGGCTATAATGGCTTAGAGCTTCCTGCTGAATTTCCATTGCCATGTGCTGGCAACACGGCTAAGAAGTCGGGCTTCTTGTTTCTGGTGGGGCCCTTGGAAGCCAAGTCTCTGCAGGTCAGTCTCCTGATGGTGTCCACTCATTCGGCTGATAAAAAGATAAAATCCCAGAATCCGAAGTCTCGCTTTGTCCCCAACATGCCTGATCACAAGGGCAGAACAGGACAACTAAAAATGGCTCACACTTGATAGGCCATCTTTCCATGCCTGTATTCATAATGTGTGCAGCCGGGTTTTCTTGTGACACACTCGATGTCCCTTGTAACAGTGGGAAAATGTGAAGGATTGTGAGAAATCTGGCAGGCTGGCAAATATTTCCACAATTCAGTTCTTTTTTGACCTGTGAAGCTAATCTAACAAGGGTGATAGGATTCCCCAGGCAAGGGAGTTAATGGCCCCTGAAAGGCCTACAGAAAACCCTCATCCATAGGTTAGCAGACTGCCACAGCAGATTGAAGGAGAGACTGAGGCCCAGGGGGAAATTAGCCAAGGGGGAAGCAACAGGATTGCTGCAGAGCTGGGAATGGGCTAGGGAGTAAAGGAGAGCACTCCAGAGCAGAGCTCCCTGAAAAGATCATTAATTCACACAGTAGCTATTGAGCAGCTACTATGTGCCTGACCTTGTTCCAGGCACTGGGGAAAGCATGGTGAGAACGATCATTATGGTGGTCTGAGAATAATCATCTCAGTGTTGCAAGAGACTAAGAGGTCACTATTCGACCTCCTATTACTTTCATATTACAAACATCCTAAGAATTCACTCTGTGCTGGGCCTTATGCTAGGCACTGGGGGTACAATGGGGACAAAACATGAGATTCTTGCCCTCATGGAGGTTACGGTCTACCAGGGAAGGCAGACAAAAAAATCCCAAAAACCAATGTATAATTGCAAGCTGTGATAAGGTCTTGCTGGAAAAGTACAGAATGCCATCAGCACATATCACAGGGGACCTTCCCAGTCTGAAGGGTGGGGGAAGACTTGTCTGAGAAAGTGACATTGAGCTCTAAGAGGAAGGACGGAGAGGCACAGCCAGGTGAAGGATCAGGGAGGTGGACTGATGTCAGAGGACAGGTTTCAATGTCCAAGGTGTGTTCCAAGGATGAGAAGAGAGAGGGGATGGGGAAGGGCACAATCTGAAAAGAGGCCATCCAGAGAGGGAGACTGAGACCAGATCAGGAAGGGCCTTGGAGGCCATGCTAAGCTTTCTGGCTTTTATTCCAAGAGCAAAGGGGAGAGTTCTGGCTTAAGCAGGAGAATGTCATGATCAGATTTTCATTTTGAAAAGATGACTTTGCCTCCTGTGTAGAGAACTGACTGAGGAGGAAGAGTAGATGCATTGCTGTGGTCCAGGCTAGGCATGAAGGTGGCCTGATTAATTAAGGTGAAAGCTCTGGAAAAATGGGAAGAGATGAAGAGAGACAGACTGACTTAAGATACATTTGCAAGGTAGAAATGACAGGGCTTAATGAAGGATTTGTTATATGAGGTGGGGAGCTAGTGAGAAAGGGGAAGAAATCAAGAACAACTTCCCATTTATGAGTACCAAAATGAATGGTTGCTTGGTCTTTGCTTGAGCACCTTCTGTGATACCCCTTAGATAGCTCAAACAGAAATTTTTTGGAAAAGGGCGTGGGCATTAGAGGCAGAGACCTGAGTTTTAGTACTGGTACCACTTATTGGCCATGGAACTTTGGGCAACTCACTTTACCTCTCAGAGTCTTCCTCATTCAGCTTAACGTTGGCTGAGTTCATACTATGAGCAAGGCACTGAGCTGGTGATGGGGACAGAGGAGTGAGAGACAGTCTCAGCCCACAAGGAGCTAACAAACAGCTCCCTGTGGAGACTCAGAAATAGTTAATTTCACCATATGCTCAGTGTGACACAGAGGGATCCACAAGTAGTGTGGGAGCAGAGAGGAGGGCAACTGGCTGGAGGGTCTGGAAGGGTTTTCTTGAGCTGAGTCTTAGGATGGCTATGAGGAACTATACTATAAGCCTATATACACTGGGCTAGAAGCCAGAATGTATACAGGAGTAGCAAAGTTCCTGGTCTGTGGGAACCCCCAGGAACCTGAGACTGCAGGACACGGTGGGGGGAAGACACTCACCGGGGGACAGCTGGAGATACCACCACTGCCAAAGAAGAACTCATCCTTGTGCACAACTATGGAAGTGTGCCTGCAACGCAGAGAAGAGACAGAATAAGCCAGAAAACTTAACACTGGTCTGAGAAAAAAGCAAACACCACACTGCAATGAGAATAATTTATGCCCAAGGATATGCGTTATAAAAGGCCAATACCCTTATAAAACCAACCAAACAAAGGTAAGATAAATACTACAGATCAGGGTTTCTCAATTTTGGCACTATTGACATTTGGGGCTGGATAATTCTTGGTTGTGAGGGGCTGTTCTGTGTGTTCTAGGATCTCTGGCATACCCTGGCCTCTACCCACTAGATGCCAGTAGCATCCTCCCTCAGCTGTGACAACCAAACATGTCTCCAGATATTACCAAATGTCTCCTGGGGCAGAACCGCCCCTGGTCGAGAAGCACTGCTGTAGATCATGTGAACAGAGGGGAGTCCCTGGAGATTCACCCTGATATTGACAAATCAATTACTAAAATAAAGCTCTGCAGACCAAGGTGTGTTTCCAGGCTTTTTAAGCTAACAGGAGCAGTTAACCTGGACCATGCTGAGGGAAAGACCAGATGATGGTAAATGTAGACCTACCACAGGTAAAAGTGCTCATATTACTTCTTGGTCCGAGTCAAACAAAGCAAAGTGTCATTCTGGTCAACCCCAATGTCAGAAGGCTCTAGGAGTCCAGATGGAACACCTGCTATGGTTTCCTCCTAAATGGAACTGAGAGCTCAGCCACCATCTTATTGTCTGACAGGGACGTGTCCAGTACTGAGAGACCAAAGTAGATGTATTTTAAGACAGACATGTGGGGCCCTCGAGAATTCTGTAGTTAGAAAGCTTGGTCGGGGTGGGCATGACATCATTCTGCCTTTCTTTAGGGGATTCTCTACCTTGGCACCACTGACATATTTGGTTAGATAATTCTTTGTTGTGGAGGGCTGTCCTGTGCATTGTAGGATGTTTGTAGCAGCATCCTTGGCCTCCACCTACCCACCAAAAATGTCTCCAGACACTGCCAAACATCTGGGGAGGGGGGCAACATGACCCCTGGTTGAGAAGCACTGCTTCAGAACTTGAAGATTTATGGCCCAGAGAGCTAGATGTCAAGCTAGAAGCCACAGACTGGAACCTGAAATGCACAGGTCCTGCTGTGTTTCATAAACCAGTCAATGAAAGGAGTCCCACCAACTTACCAGATGCCTTCCAGTTGTTTCCCTGTGGAGAAAAGAAGAGATTTAGCCACTTGGGACTAAACAGCCTTGTAACCTGAGTAAATTCTGAACATCACTCATGTCCAGAGTGACCCATTATAAACCACTTGGGGGACTTTCTAGGAATGCAGTTCTCCTCTAATAAGGTCTTTAGGTGGTGACATGGATATGCTGTGTTCAGTATGTTGAAGAGTGATAAGAATCTTTCATCAGAATGCAAGATAAAAACACTGGTATAGATGTACTCCAATTTTATGGCTGCTTTTCTTTCCCCTTTGGGGTCAATTCAACTTTGCTTTTTAAAATTCTTTGTCTCGGGGCCGGCCCCATGGCCGAGTGGTTAAGTTCGTGCACTCCGCTTTGGCAGCCTAGGGTTTCGCTGGTTAGGATCCTGGGCGCGGACATGGAACCGCTCACAAGGCCATGTTGAGGTGGCGTCCCACATGCTACAACTAGAAGGACCCACAACTAAAATATACAACTAAGTACTGAGGGGATTTGGGGAGAAAAAGCAGAAGAAAAAAAAAAGAAGATTGCCAACAGTTGTTAGCTCAGGTGCCAATCTTTAGGAAAAATAAAAAATAAAAAAAATAAAATTCTTTGTCTCATCTATAGAGACTACAGTAAAACAACAGCATAGAAAAGCTATTATCCACTTCTTCACTGAGCATATGTGAGGTAAGAGCCTTTAGAAAATAATAGAGCAAAACTTTGTCAATGCCATCCATTTGAACAGTCAATGCACATGTATTCTATAACTTTATATGCCAGAAAAAATGTTAGGTATGGAAATGCAAATACGAACAGATCACTGGGCTGCCTTTAAGGAGTCCAAAGTCAAATGGAAAGAGAGGCACACACATAATTGACTAAAACACATGTTGACAGGCTCTGTAATAGTGGTAAGAATAAGGTGCTTTATATAATAAAGACAAAGAACGCCCTTCAGTAGCTACAATTCAACCAGGCAACAAGTAGGGGCAGGGGTGGACGTTTCTGTCAACGGGGAATAGTATGTGCAAATACACAGTTGTGAAAAAGACTAAGGTCTTGCAGCGTAGAGCAAAGGGTACAGTGATGGTGCTAAGAGGAAAAGTGGCCAGCAAGGGCACAGCAAAGTAGAGTAAGCCTGGACTCAAGGCTGTCCTACACTGCGGGGGCACTGAAGGTTGTTACAGTGGAGTACAGATCCATGTTTTTAAAAGATAACTATATCTTCTAAAAGACAACTATAAGTATAGAAGATGGTTTGAAGGGAAGAGAGCAGAGACAGCAGATGAGAGTGAGGAGTTCTCTGCAGTAGTCCGTGGGAGACACTGCACAACAGCGCTAAGGATGAAGAGGAAGGGCAGTGAGAGATGTGGGAACATTACCAAACATCACTCACCTTTGCCTGTAATTTCAGCTTAACTATTTACTGATTGCCACACGTTACTTTTAGTGTTTGCCCTGTGACTTTCTAAAGGATGAAACTCTGAGCACTGTGTGGTAAAACAGGTGTGAGCTTGTGCTTCTCCCTTTGCGTAAATCACACTATTTCCTTTCCTAGGTAAATTATGGAATTTACCTAGGAAATAAATAGAATAAATATCTTGCCCCTTTAAGAAAACTTTTAATGAGATAACATTAATCTAATTTTCTTCTTTGGAAGAGACAAAAGAAACCATGGCCCCTCCATGACAATCTACGGAGGGCTCAGCATAGTGTCATCAGAGGCAGTTAAGAAGACGACACAGGTTCAGATCCCAGCTTTTCTCCTTGCTAGCAGTGGATCTTGGGAAGGTTACTCAACCTTTCTGAGCATCAGTTTCTTCAATACAGTTGTTGTGACCAGTAATGATAATGTATATAAAGCATTATATTGTGCAAAACACACAAGTTTGATAAATGGAGATGGTATTAGGTATAATGGCCTCCTTGGAGAAAAGGGTAAAGACCTCCAAAAGATAAAAGAAACTCTACTTCAAGATTGGTGGGTAAGATCTAAGAACAGATTTCGGTACCCAGCAAATTAATATGAAATGCTGTATCTGTTTTACATGTAAACATTTCCTTCTTTGCTGTTAGTGTTACCTGGCTAAATGAAGTAACACAGGGAAATGCAATGTAGCAGAGTTCTTCTGCCTCTCTTCCAGGTTCAGAGACCAGTTGGCTTTTCACTAAGAGATGCTGCCCTGGCCCACAAGATCACAAATGGACAGAAGGATTCTGGCCTGGGGTTTCTGGGGTAGCCCCCTAGAGACTGTGGGACAGGCTCTGCCCTTATCCAAACTGAGCTAAAATTAAACCTTAGTTTCCTATTTTCCTATTCTGTTAAAAAAAATAGCATAATAATAGTGTCTACCTCATATCATTTCCAAGATTAAAAAAGATGACAAATGAAATATGCTAAGCACAGTGCCTGGCACATAACACACACACTAAAAAAACACTCATTCCTTTCTTTTTTTTTTTAAGATTGGCAACTGAGCTAACAACTGTTGCCAACCTTCTTCCCCACCCCCTCCCCGAATCCTCCTAGTACATAGATGTATATTTTTTAGTTGTGGGTCCTTTTTTTTTTTTTTTTGAGGAAGATTAGCCCTGGGCTAATATCTGCCAATCCTCCTCTTTTTGCTGGCCCCAAGCTAACATCCATGCCCATCTTCCTCTACTTTATATGTGGGACACCTACCACAGCATAGCTTGCCACCTGGTGCCATGTCTGCACCTGGGATCCGAACCCACAAACCCCGGGCCACCGAAGCGGAACGTGCACACTTAACTGCTGCGCCACCGGGCAGGCCTCAGTTGTGGGTCCTTCTAGTTGCAGCATATGGGATGCCGCCTCAGCATGGGCTAACGAGTGGTGCCATGTCCATACCCAGAATCCGAACTGTCGAAACCCTGGGCCGCCGAAGCAGAGTGGGCGAACTTAACCACTCAACCACGGGGCCGGCCCCCTATGGCTGCTCTTATAGTACTTGGTATCAAAACTACTGATTTATGTGTCTTTCTCTCTGATTACACTACAATTGTCTCAAAGACAAGAGCAGTTTCTTATGCATCTTTGTAACTCCAGCACCTAGCAAAGTACAAGCACAGCTGTTGAGAGGAGCTCTTCTGTTTTGTTAGCTCTGTGGGTGACACACAGTGCTACTGAGGCCAAAGTTCTTAACCCCAATCTTGGCTGCCCTGACCTGTCGTTCAAATAACTTTGCAACCACGGCATATTACATGCCAAGTCTGCTACTGCCCTCTCAGATGCCTACGCTCAATGACCCAGGAGGACAGCTGGACAGATGCATTAAGTGAAACCCAGCCCTGCTAAAATAATGGATTTTTGCAGAGGGGCCTCAGAGATCATTCTGTCCATTATTGTACACCTGAAAAATAATTTAAAAGTTGCAGGATACAAACCCTACTTTATTCTCCTTGATATTCTCTGCATTGATCACGACATTTCCCTATAAGCTGGCCACTACACTTCCTCCTTATTCAACTACATCAAGGTACACTTAAGATCTCATCCATCCCTAGAATGGTGATAGGGACAACATTTAAAATGGATTGAGTAGTGGGCTGGCCCCATGGCCAAGTTCGTGCACTCCGCTTCGGCGGCCTAGGGTTTCGATGGTTCAGACATGGCACCACTCTTCAGGCCACGCTGAGGTGGCGTGTCATATGTCAAAACTAGAAGGACCCACGACTAAAATATAAACTATGTACTAGGGGGTTTGGGGAGAAAAAGCAGAAAAAAGAAATAAAATAAAATAAATTGAGTGGATTTACATATCTTCTTAATTTAAAGTGCTTCATAGTTATCCTTATTCTCAACAACATCTTTAACGGTAGAGTAGGGCAAATATTTATTAACATCATTTAAAAAATAAAGATGCGTGGTTTGTCCAGCATAAAACAAGAAAAAGAAAACTATGACTATATACTTGTTGGAGCAGCTCAGGCAGAAATGTGAGGGTAGCTGTTCAGCAGCCTGCTCTTGGGAGGAAAAGAACGAAGGCCAGGGCCTCCTCCTCAGGGCGACAGGCATTGGAAAGAGGGACTGAATTGATTTTTTAAATTTTTTGACCAGACTGGGTGGGAGTAGGTGAATAGGAGGGGGTGGTTTGAGATTGAATTAGGGCAAGAGGCCATTTTGGGACAATGAATTAGGCTCAGTGGATATTAGCACACTACAGAAGTAGATTATTTTCCCACTAGGATTTCCTCAGCAAGCTGGAGAGCAGATGGGTCAGAGGGCTGCACGTCCCCACATCCACTGCATTGATTTCAAGGCCTATGAAGTATGCACACGAAAATAAGTGGAAGATATGGATATCAGCTCTGCTTTTCATCATGAATAACAAAGAATGCACAGTGAGGTCCACATTAGTCAGCTTTCCGCTGATTGTAAAGTAAACCTATAAAAGCCAGGGGAAAAAACCCTCCATCTACCTCCCCATCAGCTAGGATGGATGGAGCTTGTGCATACATACATAAATACTGGTTGTAGGACATGCTCAAGATCAGCACCTGGAATACTGCTGGTGCTAAACCAATGTCTACTAATAAGCATAAAGTGGATGATGGTGATGGGGCTCCAGGAGCAGGGGCTTCTGTGCAGGCAGCCCCTCATTAGTATAAGTCAACTGTAGCCCCAGCTCACCTCAAAGATTCTTCCCCTAGTGACAAAGTGTTTTTGATTGGCAGTGTTTTAATCAGCTGGTTGGCTTGGTCACTTGCCAGATTCCAGCAATGTGAAGGAGTTAACTGGAACTACTGGATAAATATGGAATCTAGGTGGGAAGAGGTAGAAGGAAATATTTGTATAACATAGGTGGGCCTCTGTGCCAATATTGTAAAAAATGTCTATTGGTAAGGGGGCCTGCCCCTCCTTTAAGCAGAGGAAGGTTATCACAAAAATCAAAATGCAATACATTGTTAAAAACTGACTGGGTATTTTAATCCTCAAAAAACTCTAGTACTAGGATTCCTTTAAGCTAGTACAGGATTCTTTCCCAGCAT